ACAGACGCTTGCAGACAACTAACTGCTATTCAATCTATTATAGTGAAAAAAAAAAAATATTTTTTTAAATGCAAGCTATTGTGACACCAGTGAGTGAGTGGTGGCACTGGGAAAGTGGGCACAGTATCCATTGTGAGCCTGACACACAGGCTGGCAGGCAGGCAACTGCAATTACATTACAGAAAAAAAAAAAAGCAGACTGATGTTCTAGCCCTAAAAAGGGCTTTTTGGGGTGCTGTCCTTACAGCAGAGATCAGATGAGTCCTTCAGGACTGTAGTGGACACTGTATACACTAACCTAGCTATCCATTTCCCTATCAAATCAACAGCAGCTACACTTTCCCTCCTCTCACTAAGCATGCAGCTTGAGAATGAATCTAAAATGGATGCTGTCCAGTAGGTGGGAGGGTCTGCTAGGGAGGGTGTGCTGCTAATTGGCTGGAATGTGTCTGCTGACTGTGAGGTACAGGGTCAAAGTTTACTCAATGATGACGAATAGGGGACGGATCGAACCGCGCATATGTTCGCCCGCCGTGACGAACGCGAACACACTATGTTCGCCAGGAACGATTCGCCAGCGAACCGTTCGGTACATCACTACTGGTAATCTCTTGCATGGATTACTGTAATTTTTTCCTAGTTGGTCTCCCCAGAAGCTGTACTGCCCCGCAACAATGGATAATGAATGCTACCGCCAGGCTGATCTTTCTCACCTGTTGCTCCTCCCATATCTCGGCCCTCTGTCGATCCTTACACTGGCTTATAAAAACACTGACCTTTACAACTCTAAACCACTCTAGCCCTGGTTACATTTCTTCCCTTTTTCATAGATTTGCCTCTTCTCAGTCTCTCCGCTCTGCTGTCCGCTGCTTACAACCATACTGCTAACTCACGCTTGCAGGAATTTTCACGGGAGGCTACTTTCCTTTGGAACAGCCTACCTACCCCCATTAGACTTTCCTCTAGTTGTCAATCGTTTAAAAAATTCCCTCAAAACCCATCTGTTCTGAAATGCTTATGGCCTCCCGAGTTACTTGTCTCATATCAGTTTTTTTCTCTCTCCTAAAGAGCCACAATCTACTCTCACCTCCGGCTCTGCTACTTTCCATCTTGTTTGTTTGCGGTCTTATTGTTTTTTTTGTTTTTTGTTTTTTATTTATGGTACATTTTATGTAGTTTGGTGGGTGGGGTATGGGGTACAGAAGAGAAATTGGGGGAGGGGGGGGAGGGGTGATGGCGTTATGGCCACGCTTATCCCCGTTTTCAGTCCAACTGTGTAGTGGTGTTGTCCCATGTCCTATTGGGTTTTTAAAACCCCACCTCCTCTAGACTGTAAGCTCATTTGAGCAGGATCCTCATGTACCTACTGTTCCTGTATCATTTAGTAAATGTCTAATTTATTGTTAAATAAATATATTGTAAAGTGCTGCAGAATAAGTTGACGCTATATAAATACTAATACCATATATACTCGAGTATAAGCCGAGTTTTTCAGCACATTTTTTGTGCTGAAAAACCCCAACTCGGCTTATACTCGAGTCACTGTCTGTATTATGGCAATTTACATTGCCATAATACAGACTGGGGGCTAGCAGAGCTGTTACTTACCTCTCCTGCAGCTCCTGCCAGCTCCCTCCTCCTCCACGCCGGTCCGTGCAGCACCTCGGTCAGCTCCCAGTGTAAGTCTCGCGAGAGCCGCGGGGTCATAGTGCGGCTCTCGCGAGACTTACAGTGTGAGCTGAGAGAGGAGCTGCACGGACCGGCGCGGAGGAGGAGAGAGCTGACAGGAGCTGCAGGAGAGGTAAGTAACAGCTCTGCCAGCCCCCCTCCTCCCCCCACTGAACTGCCAATGCCACTGGACCACCAGGGAAGGAGAGCCCCCCTCCCTGCCATGTATCAAGCAGGGAGGGGGGGACGAAAAAATAAATAAATAATAATATTAAAAATAATAATAAAATAAAAAATAATAAAATATTAATAAAACAAAAAAATTATTTAAATAATAATAAAAAAAAATAATAATAATAAAAATGCCCACCTCCCACCAAGGCTCTGCAACACACACAGACTGCATTCACACACACACACACACACACTGCATTCATACACACACACACTGCATTCATACACACACACTGCACTCATACACACACACTGCATTCATACACACACACACTGCACTCACACACACACTGCACTCATACACACACACACTGCATTCATACACACACACACACTGCACTCATACACACACACACTGCATTCATACACACACACACACTGCACTCATTATATACACACACTGTAAATAAATATTCAATTAACATAATTTTTTTAGGATCTAATTTTATTTAGAAATTTACCAGTAGCTGCATTTCCCACCCTAGTCTTATACTCGAGTCAATACGTTTTCCCAGTTTTTTGGGGTAAAATTAGGGGCCTTGGCTTATATTCGGGTCGGCTTATACTCGAGTATATACGGTAATAAGATGTATGGATGGATAGATAACACAAAGCTCTACATGTATAGTTTATCTGTCTCTTTATATTTATTTATAATAAAAAAAAAATTTAAATGACACTATATGATACCTAGTGTGGTTAGGAAATGTGTGATGTGGTATGTACGTTCTAGTGTCTGAATGCTGTATTTGTAGTGCATCTTCTTGGGCAGGCATTGTGGGCATGTGTTGAGCCGAGTGACGCTCAGGCACGCCCAGTAAGGTGTCATTATGTTACACCAGCAGAGGGGTTAATTTCTGCTACACATATGGACTCCAGGCGCCATGACCACTTTGGTCATTGCTTGAAGTAATTCTGTAAATGTTATACTGTATCATCAATCCAGTCTGCTCCATTCAGAAGTGCAAACATGTATATGTTGGTGGACATACATTGTGTGTCATTACTGATTCTCATAGAGAATCCCTGGAGCATGGCCATTGGTGGACATACATTGTGGGCGTGTCATTACTGATTCTCATAGAGAATCCCTGGAGCGTGGCCATTGGTGGACATACATTGTGGGCGTGTCATTATGAATTCTCATAGAGAATCCCTGGAGCATGGCCATTGGTGGACATACATTGTGGGCGTGTCATTACTGATTCTCATAGAGAATCCCTGGAGCGTGGCCATTGGTGGACATACATTGTGGGTGTGTCATTATGAATTCTCATAGAATCCCTGGAGCATGGCCATTGGTGGACATACATTGTGGGCGTGTCATTACTGATTCTCATAGAGAATCCCTGGAGCGTGGCCATTGGTGGACCTACATTGTGGGCGTGTCATTACTGATTCTCATAGAGAATAACTGGAGCTTTGATAATGGTGGACAGACACTGTGAGTGTGTCATTACTGATTCTCACAGAGAATTCCTGAAGCGTGGCCATTGGTGGAAAGACATTGTGGGCGTGTCATTATGGATTCTCATAGAGAATCCCTGGAGCATGGCCATTGGTGGACATTCATTGTGGGCGTGTCATTACTGATTCTCATAGAGAATCCCTGGAGCGTGGCCATTGGTGGACATACATTGTGGGCGTGTCATTATGAATTCTCAAAGAGAATCCCTGGAGCATGGCCATTGGTGGACATACATTGTGGGCGTGTCATTACTGATTCTCACAGAGAATCCCTGGAGCGTGGCCATTGGTGGACCTACATTGTGGGCATGTCATAACTGATTCTCATAGAGAATAACTGGAGCTTATCCTGAATCCAGTCTGCTCCATTCAGAAGTGCAAACATGTATATGTTTTATTTTTGTTTTGCCAACATGCATTCTTCTATGCATAACTGTGTAACTAGATAAGATGTGCAGTGATGGTGGAGTCTAATCTAAAAGGAAGACTTGGGCCACCAACAATTTTTCTTTTCTACTTGATGTCATGAATGTACACAATCTGAGATCATTAACTCGAAGATGTTTGTTTTTCACACAGGTGAAAAGAATTCAAACAACACATAAGATATGGCTGCTTCTAACAACATTTTGTCATACTTTTTATTCAATATCAGCAGATTTGCATCAAAGGGTCGAGGCTGTAGGCACAGGAGAGTCCACTTTTTTGGCAAACCACTGCAAAATGGTCTGAAACATACCACTGACACTTTGTTCCTTAACCACTACAATGAACTGTAGTGGTTGTGGTGCTTACAATACCCCTTTAATGGCTTGGCAAAGACCTTGATTGAATAAGAAAAAATACCAGTCGCGTCTGTGTGAACACAGCAAAAAATTTAGAGCTGAAGATCATCTGCATTACTTGGGACACTTTGTAAAGATTTTTTTAAAAAAATTTTTACGCTTTTACAACCAAGGTCACTTGCACCCTCTGCAGAATAATATTCACCAAGAGTGAGTGTTAGCTTCTTATTTATACCTGAACACGACGTCATCAGTAACATTCTCTGCAAGCAGGTAATCACAGGGATATCTCCATGAATTCTGGGACAAACTTAGTTTGCTGAGCACAAGCCTCTCAATTGCAGTTACTCATAGCTTCTCTTTCAGTTGGGAGACGGAGGGAAGATAAAAATGCCATGTAGGGAAGTTAATGTTTTTAGTGGGAGAGACAGGTGTGGGGCAACGCAATAAAATTTTACACATTCAGCAAAAAAAATAAAAAATCTATCACGCAAACAAAAATAAAACGAAAGAATTGTTATGATGTTAATTATGATGTTCTACCAGATACGTTCTTACACATTCAGTGCCTAGACTAGCAATTTAAATAATTGCCTTTATAATTCAAGTTTATTCTTCTGCTGATGGTATACCAGTGACGCACCAGCATCACACGCCAGACTGTTTGGACTCTATTGTGACAAGCGTGTTGGGGGGAGAGTGTGCGCAGAAAAGTAACCGTGTAAGTTTATTTCTCCTGTGTTCTTAACCTGCTGTGAGAAGATTTCATTCTTTTAATACTTTATCCCTTTATATTCCTTGACAGATATCGTAACAAGCTGGGAACACGGTGTCACAATGCCTCATGAGAGAGTTCTTCTGTCCAGGTTTGTCCTTTATATTGAGAGGTTATAATGTGAACCGCATGTTCTCTTTGTAAACCTATTTTTTTTTCTTCTTCTAACCTCCCCCCTTAATAGCTTATCTCCCTTAATACAACATCTGGAGTAACACAGCGAGTAATGGGAGCCCTTGTGTCTGACCCTGTAGCGATGCGGGGGGTTTGGGCCTGCTCCCCGGAATCCGGAGCTGACTCACAGCCGGCTGCTGCATCTGTGCGCCTCTGTTCCCAGCCAAGATGGAGGAATCCATCCAGTTTGGCTGGATGCCCTACACAACAGAGCTGATGAGCCAAACAGCTGTTTCTCTGCTAGCTCTATGTTCGGAGAGCCGTCTCACTGCGGTTTTACATGCACAAAAGCAGTGTGGAGGGCTGTGTGTGTCACTATGTTACTCTATGTGCCAACACAGGGTGAGCAACACCCTTCTGGCATTAAAAGGGGTACACGCAGATTAGCAGACACAATCTGACACAACATAACAACCAATTAATCAAGCAGTCTGTGCCTCTTCCTGTCTATCTTACAGCATCAGACCATTAACCATGCATTCAATATGGCATTATACCGAACACAGACAGACTACAGGTGGGGTCTTTTGAGACTAGTCATCTGCCTTTATGGATAGGTTAACTAGACATGAATAAAATATAGGTTCACACAATAAAAATGCATAAATAATAAATGTGTTTCCCTCCCTCCTGTTATAATACGCTTGCCTTAAGCATATCTGATGCATGGTTTGTGTTTCGCCTGAGCAATACACGTATCAAGCTGTACTAAGCAAAACTGATTTGAATACTGGACTTGAAATAAAAGAGGGGGAGAGAATTGTAATAAGGCTGCCTCTGGTTTGAGACATTAAAAAGAACAATTATATTTCCTATTCTGACCATACAAAATATTTATACAGCCATAGCTGCCATTAGAACTCTCCAGCCCCTTATAATTCCAGAAGCATACACATTACACTTACAGGCACACTAATGGACACACAGACACAGAGAATATATTTGTACACACTGCCAGAGACAACGATTCTGGCTGCCAAACACAGAGAAAGAGAGAATTTTTTTAACCCACCCACTTTGTTAACTAGCTAGGGATGCCGCAATTGGCAATGACGAGGTAAGCCTAACAGCCGCAAGATGGCGGATTTAGCTGTTCCAGCAAAAAACAGAAATGGGTGTACCAAATGGGTGTACCAATACGGCCACTCAATAGACTTAACCGGCCAGCAGAACCAGAAGTGGCACCAGCGGCAATAGAACCAGAGATTTTGGTGCCAATTTCGGCAGATTAAAAGGGGGGCCTCTACAATACCAAGTATCCAGCACCTGAGGAAGATGCAGACTGCGTTGAAAGGCATTGCGCTAAGACTGTGGACTTATTTTATGGCACCCAGCAAATTGCAGTGCAAGGTTTTTATGTTTTTTGGTGTATAATAAAATGGTATGCTTTATCTTATATTTGGTGCCTTTCTCCAACTTTTTACTTTTGAGGATTAAAGCTGCTGTTTATTCTCGTAGAACATCCTTCATATCACATTCAAGTGTATATACCTGAGCCAGTTTTATATAGAGGCTCTAATAAATGTGAGTGTGATACCGATCAGTTCCTCTTATTTTTGTTATATTGCCCTATGAGATTATGTATTTTATTTTTCAGTGACTACCCAGGAATTTCTATACGGTATAAATACATTTTTCTATATCACTGTATATCACCATTTGTGGTACACTGTCACAAAGCTCTTTTTAGTCTGCCGTTCACCTTTTTTATTGTGAGCCCAGATACAGAGCCCACAGGATCAACAGGGATCAACTTTCCCCTCTCCCTGGCCCTAGGTAAGCAAAGGGAGGGGGAGAATAAAAATAAAAAAAACTTTCGTTTTTATTTACATAAGCCCCTCCCTACGCCCCCTCACACGCACACACACAAACGCTACAGCCCTAATTTATGATCAATATACACACTACAGTCGCTATCCCCCTCCCATACTAGCACTCAAAACTATACACACACAGTACAGTGACTATACCCCCCCCCCCAACACACACAGACATTGCATCAGAAAACATCCCTTTCCAAACATCACACCCCATTCATAAAAACACGCAACACCACAAGCGGTATCCCAACAAACAGGCAATACTACATAAAATCTCAACACACACACAACACTCAGACAGCTTACTTCCAGATAAACAACCAACGTGGTCACCCACCACACTCACAACATCCTTTCCTGGCCCTGTTCCCACTTGCACACACTGACACTTCACAGAAATACACCATTGCGCTGGCACAATGATATTCCACAGAAATGTACTTCCTTATTCGCAACTTTGCACACTTATGCTCCACGGAAATATACATCTGGTTGCACACTCCAACGATTCACAGACATCTTGCACATCCCGCCAAGACACATGCCGCACATGCCACATATTCCCACCAAACATAACATTATAAGAACCCCTAGCTGAAGCTTTGCCTAAGGCTTCAGAAAATCTACTGCCACCTCTGTATGTAGATACAGGTCAACCTCTGATATACAAACTCAACTTTTGTGTGTCCTTTTTTTTCGTTAACATATACTAACATGTAGTTTGTTATACAAAATATAACACATCATAGAATGAGAAATAAAGATGATTAATTCAGCGCTGAAGTTATAAAAGAAAAGATAAAACTATATACAATACCCAATCTCTAACCATAAAAGTTGTGAAGAATAAATAAGTTTAAAGAAACCTATTGTATAAGAATGTTTCTCCTTCCCCCCCCTTTTTTTTTTGTAAAGGTGACAGTTTTTAACTCGTTCTGCAATGTATTGATCTGTTTTGCAGGCAGGGACACTCCTGCCTCTGAATTGGTTAAATGATAGTCAGGCAAGATGTTGATGCAGTAAAAGCTTATCAGAACAAAGTCTAGTTTAATTTATAATCTTTTATTAACCCTTAATTAGCCCCCCACACCATCCCCCTAATTGTATTTAAGACATGGATCACAAGCCAGTAAATGGAACACACTCAGTGTTGTCTACCTGCACATAAGAGGGTAAGAGTGACTATAGATCTGTGGTTAATTAAATAAGGCTGGATTACAGTAATTTACAAGCTAAAAACCCATCATGAGTGAGTTTATCCCAAGTGAGAGAGTATTGAAGGGAAAGGGTTGTATCAAGCCAACATGTCAATCCTAATAGTCGCTGTTACATTCCATGCTTCCCTGTAAAGAGGGGAGGCAGAATCCTGGTTGCAATCGGCCGCAGCTTACTAATAAGTACATATTAAATGAGCCTGGGAGACTGTTAGTTGACGGTCATCCAGAATTTCTGAAGGGCAAAGTTTTACTTTTCGCTGTGGAATTTCTGAGTTTAACACAATTTTACTACAAGATAGGCTATTGTCTTGTACAGGAGGCATGCCATTGAGTCATATTAATTTTGTTAAAGGGACACTAGTCACCAGAACCAGTACAGTCTGTATTTTCAGGCATAGATGTACAAGGTTTGTGCACTAAAGATTATCCTACCACAGTTTAACACCAATGTCATGTAGGGGAGGCGAATACTTGGCCCGTCAAGGTCTGTAGAACTCGAGAAGCCTTATTACCACCCTTGCGTATATTGAATCTCCTGATATTCTCTCTCCCCAACTTACAGCCAAAACAAAGGCCGACATATAAAGAATACGTGTGTCGTGAGTGATCAGCTGTCTGCGTGGCATGTGGTGTATACAGCTAATTAGGTTTGTGTATGAAAGAAGGTGGCTATTTTGGTATGTTTGTGTGAGAGTAGCTGATGTATTTTGTGAGATTGCTTAATTAGGTATGTGTGAGAGTCTGAGAGAGTGTGTGTGCGTGCAGCTCAGGGAAATGTGTGAGTGTATGGCTACATGTGTGTCATTAGCTAAAGTTAACTTCTATTCTTTTATGGAAGTTTGTATTGCTCTATAATAAACTGTAGCCCACCTGAAACAGATCTTCCTCCCGTAAATCGAGCGCAATTATGATAGCTTGATGTCTCCGTAAGTATGGTAGGAACCATCCAGCTGTTGTTTACAAGCCGCCATCACCCTCAATCTGTGTCAATGGCGCACAATAGCGAATGATAGAATAAAAATATTCACAGATGGGAGCTCGGCTCTGTTGGGGTTATTAACTAAAGTCCACTAAAGATATAGTATGGATTATCAAAATGACCAAATTTAAATCAAATTATAAGTTCTCATATTCACTAAAGGCAAATTTGGCTGAAATTCAGTCATCACGGAGCCTTAAAAATCTGTCATTTTCAGATGTGAATCCTACAACAAATATACAATTTATCTATTTATTATATACTGAATTTCAGCCAGGTTCACTCTGAACAAACTTGGTAGCCAGGCAAACGCAAAATACATTCACTAGCTTTTCAAGTCAACCTACACACATTCTGCTATACGTGTCCACTTGCAGAGAAAGCTGCCAGCACATAACAGGTTACAATAAAACTAAAACAAGTCGTCGAAATACTACACATTGACATTTCAAATATGTTTATAGGATGGGGGCACATTGGACCTCCTTCTAAAATGCCTTCATAGTGGTTCTTACTACAGATATTTCCAGGATAGTGGCCCATGCTAATAGGTTTGTGCCTGCAAATTTGATCTAAACAGACTGTGTTAATTTAAAGGAACACTATAGCCACCAGAGCAACCTCAGCTTAAAGTAGTTGTTCTGTTGAGTATAATCGTTCCCTGCAGGCATTTTCATGTAAACACTGCCTTTTCTATCGCCCCCTAGGGACACCTACAGTGGCCACTCTGCAGATGGCCACTGTAGGTACTTCCTGTGGCGGTGCTGACATTCAGTGTCTCCACACTCTGCATGGAGATGCTGGACTTTCCTCATAGTGATGCATTGATTTAATGCACCTCTATGAGGAGCTGCTGGCGTTTATCCACGCCTCGGCTCCTTGACTATTTCAGCCAATCCAATGCTTTCCCTATGGGAAAGCATTGGATTGGTTAGAAAGCATTTCATTCTGATGTCGGCAAGGAGGTGGATCGGAAGCGGGGCCAGGATTTGTGGACATCTGCAGTGCTGGAAATAAGGTAAATTTTTCTACCTTTTTAAGGGAGTTAAGGGGGGGCAAGCCACCTAAATGATGGTTTTAACACTACAGAGTCAGGAATACATGTTTGTGTTAATGACCCTATAGTGTTCCTTTAAGTGAACCAATTTTGTAGGTAGATGTTGGCTGATTCTGTTGAATCTGAGCATTTTGATGCATATCAATTACCTTCAGATTGGCTCAGATCCAGACTACATTCATGTTAATTCAATGACAGAACTGAAAAATCCAGACATGATAGATACAGTGATTGGAGTCAGGATGGACCCAGATTATTTATTTGTTTTGTAATCCGTCCGAATGTATTCAGGTTTTAGAGAATAACTCTTCAATGACAAATAGCCACGGTGATGGTTTGCCCTGGAATCAGTGAAACTTCTGTAGTTTGCTTCAGCAATGAATGGAAAACACATTCCCCGTACGGACATACTCCGGAGTCAGAGGATTTTTCCAAAGACATTTTCCAGTTTGGTTATTTTGGCTTAGACATTTAAAGTAGTTGTCAACTCATCATCACAACTTTCTGTTTACTGAATAAACTCCTTAAGGTTCCACTCTCTCAGGAACACTGAATATACTTTCCAGTGTACATATTCTATAGAGTTAGTGTAATTTATCTTCTCTGCAAAAGCTGGAAATCTTTCCATATGTACTTCCCAGCTGATTCTCATTTCCAGAGGTCGTTAATTAGAGACTGATTAATCACAGAAATGAAAGGACTGTTCACTGATGCATTGTAACTCTTATTACAGAAATTTAACCTCTGTGCTACTTGCAAATCAGTAACTTCCAAATGCTGTTACAGGTGTGAGTGTAAATGTTAAAGGACCACTCCGGGCACCATAACTACTTCATCTCAAAGAAGTAGTTATGGAGTCTGGAGGTCATTGGAGCCAACTTGCCTTACATGCATGTAGCTTTCTAAAGAATTTCTCTTAATGGAAGGCCAGGCTGAGAGCGTAAACGTTAGCCGTTGCTGTCAGACTGCGGCTTCTAGTCCCCAAGAGAAACCTTTTATATAGGAGCCAAGGCTGGATGAGCACCGTTTAGACCGTTTTCCTGGCATTGCAGGTCCTCTCTCCCTCCCACTTCCCATCCCAAGTTGAGGAAGGGGTTAAAACCCCTTCAGTGACTTACCTGTATCCAACGCCGATGTCCCTCGGCGCTGGGTTAGGCTCCGC